CAGTACTATCTCCTTGGCTGTACACACATACATGTATGTTTAGTGTCCAGTACTATCTCCTTGGCTGTACACACATACATGTATGTTTAGTGTCCAGAAATATCTCCTTGGCTGTACACACATACATGTATGTTTAGTGTCCAGTACTATCTCCTTGGCTGTACACACATACATGTATGTTTAGTGTCCAGTGATATCTCCTTGGCTGTACACACATACATGTATGTTTAGTGTCCAGTACTATCTCCTTGGCTGTACACACATACATGTATATTTAGTGTCCAGTAATATCTCCTTGGCTGTACACACATACATGTATGTTTAGTGTCCAGTAATATCTCCTTGGCTGTACACACATACATGTATGTTTAGTGTCCAGTACTATCTCCTTCGCTGTACACACATACATGTATGTTTAGTGTCAAGTAATATCTCCTTGGCTGTACACACATACATGTATGTTTAGTGTCCAGTACTATCTCCTTGGCTGTACACACATACATGTATGTTTAGTGTCCAGTACTATCTCCTTGGCTGTACACACATACATGTATGTTTAGTGTCCAGTAATATCTCTTTGGCTGTACACACATACATGTATGTTTAGTGTCCAGTAATATCTCCTTGGCTGTACACACATACATGTATGTTTAGTGTCCAGTAATATCTCCTTGGCTGTACACACATACATGTATGTTTAGTGTCCAGTAATATCTCCTTGGCTGTACACACATACATGTATGTTTAGTGTCCAGTAATATCTCCTTGGCTGTACACACATACATGTATGTTTAGTGTCCAGTAATATCTCCTTGGCTGTACACACATACATGTATGTTTAGTGTCCAGTAATATCTCCTTGGCTGTACACACATACATGTATGTTTAGTGTCCAGTAATATCTCCTTGGCTGTACACACATACATGTATGTTTAGTGACCAGTACTATCTCCTTGGCTGTACACACATACATGTATGTTTAGTGTCCAGTACTATCTCCTTGGCTGTACACACATACATGCATGTTTAGTGTCCAGTACTATCTCCTTGGCTGTACACACATACATGTATGTTTAGTGTCCAGTACTATCTCCTTGGCTGTACACACATACATGTATGTTTAGTGTCGAGTACTATCTCCTTGGCTGTACACACATACATGTATGTTTAGTGTCAAGTACTATCTCCTTGGCTGTACACACATACCTGCACGTGCTGCCCCACCAGCAAGGTAACACCGGGGACATTTGTCTTGCTGATGCTTTATACCGTGAATCGCATTCATTTCATTACTGACACCCGACTATAACCCGACTAACGGAGACTTTAACCCGACTAATGGAGACTGTAACCCGATTAACGGAGATTATAACCCGACTAGGCGAGACTATAACCCGACTAACGGAGACTATAACCCGACTAATGGAGACTGTCAACCGACTAACGGAGACTTTAACCCGACTAACGGAGACTGTCAACCGACTAACGTAGACTATAACCCGACTAACGGAGACTATAACCCAAATATGGGAGACTTTAACCCGACTAACGGAGACTTTAACCCGACTAACGGAGACTATAACCCGACTAACGGAGACTGTCAACCGACTAACGTAGACTATAACCCGACTAACGGAGACTATAACCCGACTAACGGAGACTTTAACCCGACTAACGGAGACTTTAACCCGACTAACGGAGACTGTCAACCGACTAATGGAGACTATAACCCGACTAACGGAGACTATAACCCGACTAACGGAGACTGTCAACCGACTAACGTAGACTATAACCCGACTAACGGAGACTATAACCCGACTAACGGAGACTGTCAACCGACTAACGGAGACTATAACACGACTAACGGAGACTATAACCCGACTAACGGAGACTGTCAACCGACTAACGGAGACTTTAACCCGACTAACGGAGACTGTCAACCGACTAACGTAGACTATAACCCGACTAACGGAGACTATAACCCGACTAACTGAGGCTTTAACCCGACTAACGGAGACTTTAACCCGACTAACGGAGACTATAACCCGACTAACGGAGACTGTCAACCGACTAACGTAGACTATAACCCGACTAACGGAGACTATAACCCGACTAACGGAGACTATAACCCGACTAACGGAGACTGTCAACCGACTAACGGAGACTATAACCCGACTAACGGAGACTATAACCTGACTAACGGAGACTATAACCTGACTAACGGAGACTTTAACCCGACTAACGGAGACTTTAACCCGACTAACGGAGATTGTAACCCGATTAACGGAGATTATAACCCGACTAGGCGAGACTATAACCCGACTAACGGAGACTGTCTACCCACTAACGTAGACTATAACCCAACTACCGGAGACTATAATCCGACTAACGGAGACTGTCAACCGACTAACGTAGACTATAACCCGACTAACGGAGATTATAACCCGACTAACGGAGACTATAACCCGACTAACGGAGACTTTAACCCGACTAACGGAGATTACAACCCGACTAGGCGAGACTATAACCCGACTAACGGAGACTGTCAACCGACTAACGGAGACTATAACCCGACTAATGGAGACTATAACCCGACTAACGGAGACTTTAACCCGACTAACGGAGATTATTACCCGACTAACGGAGATTGTAACCCGACTAACGGAGACTATAACCCGACTAACGGAGACTATAACCCGACTAACGGAGACTATAACCCGACTAATGGAGACTATAACCCGACTAACGGAGACTATAACCCGACTAACGGAGACTATAATCCGACTAACGGAGACTATAACCCGACTAACGGAGACTATAACCTGACTAACGGAGACTTTAACCCGACTAACGGAGACTTTAACCCGACTAACGGAGATTGTAACCCGATTAACGGAGATTATAACCCGACTAGGCGAGACTATAACCCGACTAACGGAGACTGTCTACCGACTAACGTAGACTATAACCCAACTAACGGAGACTATAATCCGACTAACGGAGACTGTCAACCGACTAACGTAGACTATAACCCGACTAACGGAGATTACAACCCGACTAGGCGAGACTATAACCCGACTAACGGAGACTGTCAACCGACTAACGGAGACTATAACCCGACTAATGGAGACTATAACCCGACTAACGGAGACTTTAACCCGACTAACGGAGATTATTACCCGACTAACGGAGATTGTAACCCGACTAACGGAGACTATAACCCGACTAACGGAGACTATAACCCGACTAACGGAGACTATAACCCGACTAATGGAGACTATAACCCGACTAACGGAGACTATAACCCGACTAACGGAGACTATAACCCGACTAACGGAGACTTTAACCCGACTAACGGAGACTTTAACCCGACTAATGGAGACTATAACCCGACTAACGGAGACTATAACCCGACTAACGGAGACTATAACCCGACTAACGGAGACTTTAACCCGACTAACGGAGACTTTAACCCGACTAACGGAGATTGTAACCCGATTAACGGAGATTATAACCCGACTAGGTGAGACTATAACCCGACTAACGGAGACTGTCAACCGACTAACGTAGACTATAACCCGACTAACGGAGATTATAACCCGACTAACGGAGACTATAACCCGACTAACGGAGACTTTAACCCGACTAACGGAGATTACAACCCGACTAGGCGAGACTATAACCCGACTAACGGAGACTGTCAACCGACTAACGGAGACTATAACCCGACTAACGGAGATTATAACCCGACTAACGGAGACTTTAACCCGACTAACGGAAACTATAACCAGACAAGGCGAGACCATAACCCCAGCGGCTGAGATAGTCACCCGACTAGCCGAGACAGTAACCCGAGTAGCCGAGATAGTCACCCGACTAGCCGTATTGGTAACCGGTGGTGTAATGGACACATGCGGACATGGGTCATTCTTTAACAGTGATCTAATCCCTTGGGCGTTCTTCCTCTGGTGAACTACACCCACTGGTCAGGACACAAGTCAGTATTTCGAAGACACGTGAAACACCTTTTTAAACAAACACCGCTAATGTAATGAATTGCATAATGTCATCCAAATTAACTTTCATCCTCAAATTCCTTAAAGTACACATACCATATAAGGTGGAGCCAACGTGCGTGTTGTAAGTAGACATTCATGTGTATTACTACAACGGGTTCCCGGATGTGACGATCTGTGTAATCACGAGGGTGTGGTGTTTACCTCGGCTACACGCATCACACACGCATCACACACGCATCACACACGCACCTGGTACATTCCCAGCACACTGCAGATGTTACAACATGTCTGGAGGATGCAACTATATTTAGCTGATAGAGACACCTGTACGTATGACATCTTGTTTGTTTGTTGTTTAACGCCGCACTCAACAATATTCTAGCTATATGAGTGAGTGAGTGAGTTGGGTTTAACGCCGCTTTTAACAGTATTCCAGTTATATCACGGCGTAACAGCTTAATGTGGGAGGAAAGCCCGAAGTGATTCCCCCCCACCACCAGATCCCGTTTATCGCCTGTTACGACAACCATAGTCGCCTAATACGACAAAGTCACCTTTACGGCAAGCATGGGTTGCTGAAGACCCCGGATGACTGCAGTCTGTGTACATACACAGCGTTATTCACGTGCTTCCTAGCTGACCAGCTGAAGGGTCGGAATGTCGCCTCGACACCTTGTGTTATAACACAACAAACGTTGCAGTCCATATTTGTTTCGATAACAAGAAGACTCTAGGTTGTAAAATATCATTAATGAATCATTTGGAGGACACAATTTGGCGATACATCTTTATCACTGCATTCTTATACGCGCGTCACAGATGTACCCTGTTCTCAATAAATACACGATTAGAGCGGGAATAAGATGAGTTTATGACCAATCAGAAAGACGCTATTTAAGCGGGCAATGATGTCAAGATCCTATGGTTGGGATCTCGTTCTGACGTTGTCTGTAAAGCGACTGGGCGCATGCGCACACTGACATCCGATGTTGAGCGGCTCCCAGATGACGGCGTAGCGATACACTCCCTGCACGCACGCGGTCCGCCGGAACACCTTGGTGTAATATATTATTGGCAGACAGTCCATCAGGTTGGAGGGGCCATTGTCTGGTCTCAGACATTCACCACAATTGCACTGAGTCTCGACCAAGGTGTCTGGTCTTCTGTTCTCGTCGTAGTTCAACACGTAGTGGAAGGGGCAGACCCTCCCCCCATGACGTCGCACCGCCTCCTCCCACGTCGGGCACTGGGGCTCCCCCGTCAACACCGCGTGCCTCAAGTGTACGAACTGTTCGTGGACTGAAGAAAGATTGGCAACAGTGTCCAGGAGAGGTGGAATTTGGTAAAAACTGTCATGGAGTTCATTTCGGAAGTCTATTTTACGGTTAACAGGCTCCCGGCAGCGTCCGGCTCTTCTTCCGGTAGCCCAAGCTGAACATTGCGGCATCGCTATGACGACACACGTTGTGAGGAGTATCTAGAAACAAAATATCGAGTGGTTATCCTTGGTGTATCCTTGTCCGACATAACGAGTCCATCTCTGGATCGTGACTAGATGTATCACTGAACCGTTCAATCCCGAATAACAGTCACAGACATTTCGGTCCAATCCCAAAAAACATTCACAGACATTTCTGTCCAATCCCGAATAACAGTCACATACATTTCTGTCCAATCCTGAATAACAGTCACATACATTTCTGTCCAATCCCTGTACGTCGGTTTGTCGGTTTCATTCACAAAGAAAACTGACACGCGATACTCACGTGACTAAGCCCCCTTTCCCATTCCACTTAGACTGTGACTACACAAAGCCATTCAGAAAGTGGTCAGTTGAAAGAAATGTTATATTTGGGAGAACACCTTTTTAGTAAAGTACAACTTCTAGTGTAGCCTCGGTGGCTGAGGGGGTTACATTGCTGACTTTGTGTGCAGGCGATATCGTGCCTCAATCTGGCAGTCTGGGTTCGAATCCCATCTGTACTTTTCTAAGATAGTGTTTTCTCAAATATAACATTTATTGCATTCAACTTAGACGAGCAAGAAAGTGAGTCACGCTGTTGCTTTCGTGTAAATTTAGAAAGATGTCAAGACCGCCTCCGTGGTCTAGTGGTAGAGCGTCCGCCCGGAGAGCGGAAGTCCGGGGTTCGATCCCCGGCCGAGTCATAACAAAAGACGTTAAAAGATTG